GTAGGGAATGGGGGCTCTTCTGACCAGGAAGATGCTGGCACTGCCCAGGGGTGAGAGCGGCGCCCATGTGGCCGGGAGAGCCGGCGCGGAGGGACTGGCGGAGGGAGGAGGAGAAGCTGCGCAGCACTCGGATGCCCCGGGCTCCTAAAACTGCCCTCTCAGATGACCATGTTGGAGGCCAGGTGACACGCCCAGAGCCACCCAGCTGGCAAAAAGTGGAAGTGGGATTTGAGCCCTGAGTGGGCGTCCATTGGCGAACAGTGGCAGCCCCTGAACTCACTAGAAGGTGGCGCTAGGGGCTTGTCTTAACTGTATGAATTCAGGAGCACACGGGCCTTGCACGGAGCTTATGCTCGGCGGGGGCTGATGGGAACGTCGGGCGTGATAGACTCTGGGTTTGGGCTTGGCCGTGGTTCCTGGCACACAGCTGAAACCCTTAGACTTCCCTGAGTGACAGGAAGGAATGTCTTTTTTGTTTGTTTAGGTTATTTTTTTTTTCTTTTTGCCATAACGTGTATGTGCTCACTGGAGAGACACAGAGAGAAGAAAAGTGAGAAATCACCCCCAGGGGAATGACCACACCACAATTCCTTCTCCATTCTCCTCTTGGGATTCTGGTCACACACACATGTGCCCGGCATGTTTTTCAAGCTTCTGGGTCTGGGACTAACCGTGGCGTTGTCAATGTGGGATACAACACCTTATTTTATTTTTTTAAAGAATTATTTAGGGCCAGCAGGTGGTGTGGTGGTTTAGGGCGCTGGACTCCCACATGGCTGACTGTGGTTCAAGTCCCAGACCTGGCGGCTTGCTTTCTCACTTTTCCTCTCTCTCTCTCACTCTGTTCCTCTCTGGTCAAATTAAAACAAATAAATAAGGTTAAATAAAATAATTCTTCAATAAAATAAAATAAGAATTAATTTAGGGGCCAGCGTGTAGCATAATGGTTATGTCGTTGGACTCCCACATAGCTGGAGTCCTGTAACCAATGGCTTAAAACTCATACCGGGCACATGTGCATGTGTACCCAAAATCCTGACAGGAAAATGGAGGCGAAGGGATTGCGGTATGGCCACCTCTCCAGGGGGTGATTTCTCACTTTCTGCCTCTCTGTGTCTCCAGCAAACACACATCCCCTATGGCAAAAATCTCTCTCTCAAAAAAAGAATTATTTGATGTGATTATTAGTATTATTTTAATTTGCTATAGGGCATGTGCACTCACCAGAGAGAGAGAAAGTGGGAAAGCAGACCACTGGGTCCTGGACAAGCCGCAGTCGGCCATGTGCCCTATAGCAAAAGCCTCTCTTTAAAAACAAAACAGTGTGAGGACCAGCAGGTGGCGTGATGGTTGAGGCACTGGATACTCCCACATGGCTGGACCTGGGTCCAGGTCTTGGCCTGGTGGCTTGCTTTCTCACTTTCTGTGTGTGTGTGTGTCTCTCTCTCTGGTGAGCATATGCATCCTATAGCAAAAATCTCTCTCTCAAAAGAAAAGAATAGTAATAATACAAATGAAATAAATAAATGAATAATTTTAAGAAATAATTATTTATTTTATTTATTTATTTTTAAAATTGTAACTCATGCTGGGCGCGTGTGCGTGCATGCCCAAGATCCTGAGAGGAGAATGGAGGAGAAGGAATTGCGGTGTGACCATACCCCTTGGGGGGTGATTTCTCACTTTCTGTCTCTGTCTCTCTCTGTCTGCCTGGCGAGCGCACGTGCCCTATAGCGAAAACCTCTCAAAAAAAAAAAACAACAGTGTGAGGTAGGAGATGGGAACTCTTGGGATATAGTTAGGGTGTGAGCCCAAGATGAAATCCCAAAGTGCTAAGTTAGGGTGAAGACACAAGAGCTCTTTTGCTGAATTGTTTGCTCAGGAGACAGCTTGCAGCAGCCACTTTTTAATGGACTTAGGACAGGCTTTTTCCTGGTTCTATCACATTCTAGGAAAAGGGTAATAGTCTTTTATGGCCCAAAGGTGTTATGCAAAGGGAGCCCCCTGACCTTTGTACCCACTCCAGAATTAGGAAGAATAACCAGACCGGTCCAGCATGTGACCCCTCACCACACGGATCCCAGCCACCACTGGGGAGCCAGCACAAAGGCCCTCTCACCCAGGTAAAACCCCTCACTGCAGTGCGTTGGCAACCCTCGAAGGGCCTGCTCTCTGCTTTGGAGCTCTGCTCTGCCGTCTGTCTCTTAACTCCCGCTCGCTTACCAAAGTCGGCATCTAATTCTTCACGGACTGCGGACCAGAACCTGTGTCTCACTGCAGAAGCCGAGCCCAATCACTCCTGCACCCCACGTTCCCTGTGCCAGGGCTTTCTCTCTCTCTTGTTTCTCTGCCTCTCTCTGACAAGCACACATTAAAATAAAAGTATATAGATAATACAATCTAATTTTTCATGAGAGTTTGTGAGACAGAGCTAGAGAGACACTTAATACTCTCCACGTGGTCTAACCTGGATCCCATTTCCCTAGCCCTTTAGCGCCTCAGGGTGTTGACCAACCTGCCTGTCCCTCCCCGAGTGGTTTCAGGCCAACCTGGGGTTCTAAACCCCAGGTATGCATGTGGCTTCCAGCACTGCAGCCCAGTGCTGGAAGCCCAGTACGCACCCACTGCACCAAGTCTCCTGGGCCAGCAGGTGGCATCGTAGTTAAGGTGCTGGATTCCCACAATACCAGGCTGTGGTTCAAGTACCAGACTTCATGACTTTAAAATCACACAAGGCATGTGTGTGTGTGCAAGGATGCCCCAAATCCCAAGAGAGTGGAGAAGAGGGGACTGCTGCATGGCCATCCACCCTGGGCATTCTCACTCTCCCTCTCGCCGTCTCTCTCTTTCTCTCAGAATTTGCCTCTCTCTGGTGTACGCACATGCCCTATTGCAAAATGTAAATAAATAATAAACTCTCTCAGGAACCAGCAGTTAGCGTAATGGCTATGTCGCTGGATTCCCACGTAGTCGACTGCAGTTCGCGTCCTGGACCAGTGACTTAAAACTCACGCCAGGCACATGTGCGTGTGTGCCCAAGATCCTGAGAGGAGAATGGAGGAGAAGTGATTGCGGCGTGACCTCCCCCCCTGGGGGGGTGATTTCTCGCTCTCTATCTCTCTGTCTCTCTCTCTGTCTGCCTGGCAAGCACATGCGCCTTATAGCGAAAAACTCTCTAAAAAAATAAATTAAATAAATAAAGTCTCTTAATTAAAGAAAAAGTACATGAACGAATCTGTAAAATAAGTGGGTTAAGTTAGCTCTAGGGTCAGCGGCCGCCGCTGCCCGGGCAGACCAACCTTGCGCTGCCCGGGGAGACCAACATGGCGGCGAGACTAGCCGCCTTCCTCAGGAATGCTTGGTCCAAGTAGCCAGTCTGGTCGCATCCTTCACCATCGCGGGCCTCGCTCTCATCCTCACTCAGCCCCTACCAAGTACTCCTCCATCATGATGACCCACGCCACCCTCTGCTACTACCCAGTGCCCCTTCGAGATGATGGGAACATGCGTGACATGCCCAGCCACCCTCAGGACCCACGGGGTTGCAGCCTGGAGTGGTGGAAGAAATTGTGAGCTGTTAATAGGGCTCCCCTGAGACCCCCAGTAAAATGTGAACCCCCGCCCAGGAAAAAAATTATATCTAGGGTCATTTCTGGTTCTGAATCACACTTCAGTTCTAGGTTCCAGGGTCCCCACACATACAACAACAGAGGTCTGATATTTTTAAAGAATTGTTTTGTTAAACTTTATTTATTTACTTATTTATTTTAATTTGACCAGAGAGGGACAGAGAGAGAGAGAGGGAAAGTGAGAAAGCCAGCCACCAGGTCCAGGATTCGAGCTCCAGTCTACCATGTGGGAGTCCAGAGCTCTTAACCACTGCCACTTGTAGGTTCGGAAATTCTTTTTGGAGAGAGAGATGTTTGCTATAGGGCAGGTGCACTCGCCTGTGTCTCGAGAGAGACCATCCCCCAGGGGGGATGACTACTCCACGGTCTCCCTTCTCTTCTCGGGATTTTGGGCACGCACGCAACAGGCCTGAGTTTCATGTCGCCGTCCGGACTCTAACCCGGGTCAAACGTGCGCGAGTCCAGCCCCTTACCATTACGCCACCTGCCGGCCCCTTCAGCGTCGAGTTTGTCCGGATCTGGGATCTCCCCGCGGTCCCCGCCTCCAGGCCCTCCCCGCTAAGCCGACCCCGCCCACACGGGGCGGCCTCTGGACCCCTAGGCCACGCCCTCCCCGCCATTGGCTCTCCGATTGGATAGTAGGCGGAGGAGTGGCCGGTGTCCGGAAGACGTGAGTCTGATCGCAGAGGCGTGGTTGACTGTGTGCCGCGGAATATGGCGGAGCCGGCGACAAAGCGGCCCTGTGGCCCGGTAGGCAGCTTTAGGTGGGAACGCCGGGCTGGGCAGCGGGTGGAGGGGTGACTACGAGCCGTGTCGGGCCGATAGCGGGGCCCAGCCGCTCCTGCCACTCTCAGCTTCTCTGATCCGAGACCGGAAGCCCCGAAGGTGCCCATGCTGGTGGCCGCGTGCACCCCAGCCCGGATGAGACCCGGAGGTGGGAGCCGGGATCCCAGCTGGGGCTGGCACAGCGTTGGGAAGACTGCGGCCTGTACCTCGAACCTATGGTTCTCTGATCGGGGCCAGATTCCCCAAGAGGGACCCTGTTCGCAATCCTAACTCGTTTCCTGCCTGCAAACATGGTTTATGTCTTCTAGCTCCCAGGGCGACTGTGGGCACGTCCTGTCCCGAGCCTCATTGTCCTCTTCTGTCTCAATAAACAGAACTCACTCTGTTTATTGAGAGCCTACAAGGTGCCAGGCCTGGCCCCAGGCATCGAGGGCACACCGGGTCCCTGCCCTCCTGACACTGCCTCTGGGGCTGCAGTGTGTAGACTCCCCGGCTCCCTCATGGCCCCCGTTCGGAGGGAGAGGATGACCGCAGGGCAGCACGTGGGCACCCTTTCAGATGTGACCGCTCTGTCATCGCACACTTACTTACGCCTCCTACTTCTACTCCAGGGTGAGCATGGCCAAAGGGTGGAGTGGCGGAAATGGAAGCAGCAGAGTAAGTATGGGCAGGGGATGCTCACCCATCCCCCAGGCCACAGCAGCAGGGCACTGCTGACCTTGGGGAGAGGCCAGCTTGGTCTGCTCTGGGTCATACAGTGCAGCAGCACTCTACAGCCTAGGGTGCCCAAGGGAGAGGGAACCGTTGCCTCCACAGCTCCAGGTCCCCTTTCCTCCACCAACTGGGTTGTTCTCTTATCCAGGGA